TTGCCCCCAGAGTCCACGGGAGCTGCCCTGCCAGGCAGGGCCCTCAGGCAGCTCCATCTTCCCTTTTCTTTTTTCTTAATTTGCTGTAAGGTGTGTGAGCTCATGGGAGGCAGACATGGGGGGAGGGAGTGTGAAAGCACACCCCACTAGGGATTTGGGGCATGCATGCACACGCGCATGCTTTTCAAATCACCAGTTCAGGATTTGAACCACACAGTCGACCATGTGGGGTCCAGCCACTTTAACCACCATGCCACAGGGTGGCCCAACTCACTTTTTCTCTATGGGGAAAGTGTCAGGACAAATGCATGCCTCTATTTTACTCCATTTGGCTTCATGCATTTTCCTGTGGAAAGAAATGCTGTTTTTGTTTGTTTCAATTTGGATTAAATGGAATTAGGAGAGCTTTACTATTCCCCAATTTCAAAGAGACTCTTCCAGGCTCCTTAGGACCGCTGAGCAATGTTTCCTAAATGGAAATCACCGCCAGAGAGAAGAGGAGACCGGGATGCATCGGTGAATTTTATGGTTTTTTTCTTAAGCAGTGCAGCTTTAGTGCCTTGGAGCAGAGGTGCGGGGTGCCAGGCACTGTGCTAGGAGGTGAGGATGCAGAAATGAATGAACCACGGCCTCCGGCTCGCCCCACCCAACAGGAGCTGCAGTGGGCGCCTGGGCCCGGGAGTAAGCAGGGTGTGCAGCGGTCAGGGGTGCCAGCTGGAGTCGGCCGCCTGCTGCCCCTTCAGGGCTGTGTGGCCTTGGACAAGTGACTCCTCTTTCCTGTGCCTTGTTTTGTACGCTAAATGGGGTTTATTATAAAGCGACCGTTTAGGGTCCTGTGAGGATCTGGGAGTTAAAGCATGCGTGGCAGAGCTTGCTGGGTGTCGATGCCTGTGGGTGAGAAGGTGTGAGGAAGTGTGTGGGTGCACAGAGGAAGGTGCAACTGACTGCTGGGATGAGGCAGGGGAGGCTTCAAAGAGGAGGTGACATTTGATTTGTACCCTGAGAGATAAGTAGGAGTTCAGGAGACAAGGTGGTGTGAGGGAACCCAGGCAGAAGGGAACATGGTCCAAGGCTCATTATTATTCATTTTAATTGCCAGAGGGCTGTGCTCTCAGCAGAGAGAGACTGAGAAAGCATTCCTCACTAGGTGTGGTCACACCACAATCCCTTCTCCTCCATTTCTCCGTCCTGTCAGGATTTAAGGCATGCATGCACATTATGTTTTTCAAACTGCTGGAGTCAGGATTTGAACCACAGTGGGCCATGTGGAATTAGGCTTCCTTAACCACCATGGGGCCTGCCCCTTAGCCTACGCTCTTATTCTTGACTCTGTGCTTTGTTTTCTCACTGTGCTTAAGGGTGCTGCCTTAGAACAATGCTCTCCATTTGCCTACTTAGATGGGATTATATATCAATTATACTTTCAAAAAATATATTTAATATTATTTTTAAAATTTGCTACAGGGCATGTACGTTCACCAGAGAGAGACAGAGAGAGAGAAAGGAAAAATGAGAAAGCAAGCCTCTAGGTACAGGACTTGAACCCCAGTTGGCCTTCTGGGGGTCAAGTGCCTTAACCACCATGCCACCTGCTGGCCCTGTATTATTTACTTTCAGTGTAGCAGTTACGTCATTGGACTCCCACATGGCCAACAGCGGTTCAAGTCCCGGACCTATGTCCTGAAAATCACACCAGGCGCGTGTTCCTGCTTGCCTAAGATCCCAGGAGGACAACGAAGGAGAAGGGGTTGGAGTGGGGCCATCCCCTCAAGGGATGGTGATCTCTCACTTTTTCTCTCGGTGTCTCTCTGGCCAGCACATGCATCTAAGACAAAAACCTCTAAAAACAAACAAACAAACAAACAAAAAACTACTTACTTTTAAAGAAATAAAGGAACCTAGTAAAGTGGCCTGACTCAGGCTTTGAGCGAATAAACACCCTTTAGGCTGGGGTGTATTTTAGACAAGTGGGTAGGAAACTTCTGGGCTAAAGCTCTATGGCTCAAGCCGGGAAGCCTGACTGGTTTAAAAATCACCATGGCAACTTAGTTAGCATTTCTCTGGAGTCTGCTGGGTGGGGCTGGGTGATACCTAACACCACTGGGTCACTTGGCTTTGAGCAAGGGCTTTGGTCCCCTAGGAGGTCAGTCAGACCAGCCTGTGCAGCCCCAGGCCCTGGAGGAGAGCCTAGGCACCTTCCGACTGGCAGCTCAAGCCGCAACTAGGCCCCTCCCGACGGGCAGCAAAAGCCGCAACCTGGCCTGTGTGCTTTCTTTGAGACTGGAGTTGAAAGGCAGTCTGGGGCCTTCCCTGAACGCCATAAAACAGGCATCATGTTCTCAGAATGATCTTGCACGGAGCTGGGGCTCAAAGCACTAGTCTTTCTGAAGAAATCTCTTTCTGCCTGTTCGGTCTCAGCGCTCTCACAGCCAGGAGTGGGCTTGAGGTGAGGGTCACGTTGCAGGTTTCCGATCGCGCTTCTGCACGTCCCAGCTACAACCCCGTTCTTTTACTTTGGCGTAGGGGAACACTTTGCTCTCTCCTGAGTCTTGGGGGTGTGGCCAAAGCTGAGTAGAAAGGGTTCCATTTATAGAACCTTGTACATGGAAGATGCTCCATGGAAGAAGTCGGTTAGAATCTGCCGCACTTCAGACAAGAAGGGGCACGTGCCTCTTGGGAAAGTTGGGTGAGGACGGCTCTGAGCAGCAGGAGGCAGCGTCGCAGCCTCAGGAAGCTGAGAGGGTTGACTTGCTCCTTCGCTGCCTCGGCTTCAGCCTGGAGTTGGAGCAAGGGACTTCGGAAGCTCTTAAACTTGCCCCATCCCTTCTGAGTTCTAACCCCTCACTCCCTGTACCCCATCTGGGGCCTTCTCCAGGGACCTCTCCCTGCCCCAGCTTAGAGGGGTTGCTTGTCTCGCATTTACTCCTTAGAGTAATCCCTTAGATGCATCCTCCAGCCCAGAGCCCAGGCCCCGGGGTGGGGGTGGGGGCTCAGTGCTGCCACAGCCTGGTCAGACTGAGTAATCACACTTGTCTTCAAAGCCACACAGAAGCGTCTTGCTTCAAGCAAGTGCTAAGAGTCCTCTCTTGCTCCGAAGCCCCATGCTAGGTCTCCCCCTCACTGCATCCTCGGTCTGGGTGCAGAATGTTCCCACCTTGTCACACCAAGGTCAGCCCTGGACAGATTCACCCAGGACATGCAGTTAGGCTGAGTGCTTGTGATCGCGACGAGGGGTGTCCCAGGCATCGAGAAGGCGTGTGAATTGGCACGAGCTTTCTGGGAAGCAGTTGGGAAATGTGTACAAGAGCAGTCAGTGTGTCTGCCTGTTGATGGAGGAATTCCGTCTCAGCCGTTTCCACCGCAGACGCAGTTTCTAATGGCATCTGTAATGAGCAGTTGATTTTCACCACGGGGAATTCATCTTTGATGCCGCTTTCTCCGGATTCCATTTGATTTGCTACATTAATAACTTCACGAAACGTCTTCAGTTTCCAGTGATGGGGAAGCATTGGGAGCGTGTGCGCAAAGATAAGAACGGCTGCTCCCAAACACACAGTTCTCCCCAAGACCAGTGTGCTGCTGAGTGCATAAAAGCATGTGTGTACCAGGGCCAGCAGGTGGTGTAGTGCAGTGATTAAGACCCTGGGCTCCCATATGGCTGACCATGGTTCAAGTCCTACACCTGGCAGCTTAAAAATCACTCCAGGTGCATGTGTGTGTGCCCAAAATCCCAAGAGGAGAATAGAAGAGAAGGGACTGTGGCATACCTAACCCCCAGGGGGTGATTTCTCAATTTCCCTCTCCCTATCTTCCTGTCTGTCTCTTGAGAGTGCACACACCCGACGGCCAAAACTTTCAAAGCAAAATAAAAACTTGTGTGGGGAGCTTGTAAAAAGGGACATTGTAGGACTCCCTTAACTTCCATTTTGATCCAGCAAGTCACAACAGTTTCCAGGAATGTTTATTTTTTAAGATTTATTTATTTATTTATTTATTTATTTATTTATTTATTTATTTTTGGAGAGATTTTCACTGTAGGGCGCGTGCGCTCGCCAGACAGACAGAGACAGAGAGATAGAAAGCGAGAAATCACCACCCAGGGGGGATGGCCACGCCGCAATCCCTTCTCCTCCATTCTCCTCTCAGGATCTTGGGCACGCATGCACACGTGCCCGGCGTGAGTTTTAAGCCACCGAGTCCGGAACTTGAACTGCGGTCGACTACATGGGAGTCCAGCGACATAGCCATTACGCTAATTGCTGGTTCCCACGAGTTATTTATTTTATTTTATTTTTGTTTATTATTTTTAAAATTTGATGAGAGAGAGATAGAGAGAGAGAGAGAGCCAGCCAGCCTCTCAGGTTTGGGACTTAAACTGTGGTCAGCAATGTGGGAGTCCAGTCCCTTAAACACCACATCATGGCAGCCTAGCCTAAGGCAGACACTATGGAGTAGGGGTTCCTGGCCCCCAGGAATGTCCTTTTTTTTGCTATAGGGTATGTACGCTTGTCAGAAAGACAGAGAGAGACAGAGAGACAGAAACCAAGAAATCACCCCCCAGAGGGGAAGGTCACGCCGCAATCCCTTCTCCTCCATTCTCCTCTTGGGATCTTGGGCATGCACGCACATGTGCCTGGTGTGAGTTTAAGCCACCAGGTCCAGTACTTGAACCGCGCTCGACTACATGGGTGTTCAGCGACATAGCCATTGCGCCAACTGCTGGTCCCCAGGAATGTTTTTTTTTTAACAAGCTTTCCTGTAGTTGTAGATGCTTAGAGAGAAGTCTGATAATCACATGGAAACTGTAATCTCCCATTTCGAATTTCCCCAGAACTTATTTTCATGGAATATTGTACATTGCACAGAACTCAAACATTCAAAAAATATATGAAATATCAGACACATTCTTACAGAACTCAGGAGAAGTTAGTAATAGTGAAGTTGAGATTTGAATTTATTCTAGGATCTACCTTCCTTTTCTTCTTTTACTTCCAGAGAGATCCTGAGGGGGCCTTGCCACACTGTGACTGCCCACCCCTCCCCACGCACACCTGGATTTCTAGCCCACCAGGATCGTAGGTGAGCTGTGTATTCAGGCCCACCTGGGATCTGAACTCTGGGCCTTCCCACTTGGATCCAGCGTCATGCCACAGCATCCGTCCACCTGCACAGGATCTGGTCCCCGAGCCCCTCCCCATAGAGTCTGTCTTAGCCTAGGCTGCCCTGGAAGCAAAGCCCAGGGCTACGATGTGCTTGGGACGGGGGAGTAGAAAACGAAAGGAGAGAAGTGCGATCCCACCGCACCTTCCGGGGCTCAGAGCTGGTTCAGGGCATGAGAGGAGGAAGCGTTGGCTTTGGGTGAAATGGTGCTCACGCCCAGCACCTCTGGTCGGGCGTGCTTCGTGGAAAGGCAGCTCCCCGGCATCTGCCATGGCACCAGGAGCCCCAGGGCAGGAGCCAGAAGCAAGCAGTTCAAGGCCACGAGGACTGTCTGGAACTGGCCACAGCACCCCTGCAGATAGACATGCTGCCAGGGGATCGTGAGGTGGCATTCAGGAGGCATGCGCTCAGCCAGAGGGTGTCACAAAGCCCTGTCACAGAGGAGTTGTGCTGAATTCCCTGCAAAGGTGAAGGGCTTTTGTGTGTGCATATTTGGAAGGGATATAAGAGGGAGGGTGAGGAATTCTTGCTCCAAATTCCTTTTAAAGAATTTCATGCGAAGGTCAGCCGGTGGTGTGGTGGTTTAGGTGGCTCCCACATGGCCTACGGCGTGGGACCTGCTAACTTGAGAAGCACATCAGGTACCTGTGTGTGCGGGTCTAACATCCTGGGCAGAGACTAGAGGAGGGAACTGTGGCCTGGCCATCCATGACCCCTGCGGGTGCTTCCTCACTTTCTCGTTCTCTGTTTGGTGAGCGCACATGCCCTGTAGCAAATTTAAAAAAGAAGTTTTATGCAAAGGCTCACCAGGGGTCTGGAACACATGATGTATCTGAGCTCGTGGGAGCAGAGGTGTTTTCTGAGAACGACTTTCTTGATCCACGAAGCCCAGGTGAGAGAGACATGCATCAGGAACTATGGTTTTTCCTTGTAACTCTTACCAGGCAGTGAAATGCGACACCGTTCTTAAGTTTTCTGAGATTTCTGGTCAGGCTCTGCTCTGGGTCCTCTGGGTCCTCATGCCATGATCCATCCCCTGCTGGCCCAGATCACAGGCATGCACGCATGCCCAGTGTGCGCTGGAGGACTTTTTGTTATTTTTTATTATTATCTTTTCCATACGAGGCCCTGATCAAGGCCTTCCTGCTGCCGTCCACCCCCAGTCTCAGCTGGCCCAGCTCTCACGGACACCAGGATGCTCACGGAGGAGCCGAGACAACCCCCCACCACCACCTCAGCCCCTTTCCATGTCACCAATATTGTGCCATGACCTGGCCCCAGCGGGGACTTCCAATCTGCAAATTCACAGGTACAATTTTATCTATTGCTGTGTGAACATCCTCCTCAGGGACCATCCTTTAAACCATCATTTGTCGATCGTAGTGAGGAAATCGTGGACTATAGACACTAAGTGACTTCCAAGTTTGCGAAGCTAATAGAAGACGAAAGCAGGGCCTTTGAATCCAGGTCCTGACCCCATGCTTAATGCCCTTGTCTCTAGTCTAGCTACTGTTTTGGTTAACAAGAGATACTGCATGTGTCTGTTGCAAAGATCACAACTGATGTTTTATACTTGGGCTGGAGGGCACGTTTGCTCGCAGGAGACAGGAAGGGAGAGAGAGAAACCTAGAAAGCACCACCTGCAGGGCACGGGGCATCTTAATCCCGGCTCCTCCATTACAAACGCAGACATGCCTGCCGTGTCTCTCAGCTGCGGGTCTGGGACTCGCACGTCGCTGTTGGCCATGTAAGATCCAGCTGCCTTAACCACCAGGCCATGGGCTGGCCTTCACGATTGACATTTTAAAAAGTGACAATAAAAATACGCTTTGCATAATTTTTACTAATGCAATATTAAATGATGATAAGAAATGTTGCAAGAATACTGCAGGGCACAAAAAAAAATATAGGGGAAAAAATGACTGACAATTCTGGTATCTTTCAGAATGCATGTTATAATCATTGAACGGAAACAAACCTTGGAGCAAGAATGTGACACCAATATAAATCAAAGCAAATGATCAGGTTAGTTTTGTCAATTTTATTGAAAGAATAAAATTACTACTAATAACAATGAAATAAATTTTTGCAGTATAAATGTGCTGCAGTTTAACAAAGCCTATTGTTTTGTTGAATTTAATACAATTAACTAATTCTCCTTAAAAATCAATGGAACTGTATTTCAAAAAGAAATACTATGTAGATGGATGATTTTTGAAGGGCTTATACTGTATTCAGTCTCTGCTATTTTATTAATACTATGTATGGTCAATATTTCAGCTGTAATTGAGACACTTTCTTGTTATTTCAGTTTCCTAGAATATTAGAAAAACTCTGCTTTTAAGGCTGGAGGAAAGAACCCTACCTTTTAAGGTAGAATGAATTCCTCCAAATTGAAAATGAAGAAAATGAACTAAATAATACATGGCTATGAGACCCCAAAGACTTGCAGGTGCAACGCGATGCTGAAATGACTCTGGAAAAGCAGCGCTGTTCAGATATTCCTCCCCCACATGCCCCACCCCAAAAAAGAGCAAAAAATTTCAATTGAAAGAGAGCTCCACTTATCATTAAGAAAAATCACAGAGGCAAGATAGATTAAATATCCCCCTTTAACTTTAAAGCAACTGGCCTGCTTTCAATAGCATTTTATCCAGAATAGAGTACGGACTATCACGCTGGAAACTTCTCTCAACTGGATTTAAGATGCATTCAAACTTGCACCAGCCTAAGAGGGAAAGCAATGACTTTAGGGTAGAGCAGAGGAGGAGAATAAGTAAAAGGCAGCAGAAATCAAGTCGTAGAATATTCTTATGTATCTATATGGACAGTACTGAAGGTTTTGATGTCAGGGGTCAAAGAACTAGAAGGCCAAGGCAGTGAAACAAAACAAGACAAACAAACAAAAAAACACCTGAATGAGGAAATGAGTGAAAGTGTCTCCAGAGACCACGAAAAGATTTTCTTCCTTCTTCTCAAAACGAGTGGTCATTTCTTCCTGAGATGCCTCTTCATCTTCCCTCTCTTCTTGAAGCCTTTTCATCCTTTCCATTAAGGCCTCTAGCTCACTTAGAGAGTCCACAATCTGGAACCAGGTACGAGAGCGTTGGGTGTTACTAGCATTAGACTTCGTTACAATAAACGTCCCCATCTCCTAATGTCCTGTCATCACCATCTTATGTACAGTCGCAGGTGCATGGTTACTCATTTCCTAAGGGAGCTTTTCACTAACTTCAAAGAGATTCATATGACAAATTCAACATTTTCAGAAGTACGTTTTTGTTTTCATTTTGAAAGTTGTAAATGTGTGTGTGCGTGTGAGCGCGTGTGTGTGTTAAAAGCCTACAGTTCTAGCATTTGGTATGTACCGTGTTATAAAGGATGGTGGAAGAGAGCACATTGACTCAAGGAAACAAAGCTGCACGCAGACAGGAGCAATGTCCAGTGTTACATAACACCATAAGGAGACGGTGGCTTACAGCCTAATCACAGAACCTTACCAGTGTTGAGAGGGTGGGTATGTTAACCCCCGGCTTACTCACTGGATTTGTATTCACATCCTGAAAACTCACATTGTAACAAGCATTATATGAATAGAAATGACTCATTAAAATGGTAGGTTTTAAAAAACGAGTCAGCCTCAACTGTCCTACTTTCTGCTCTCACAGGGAATATGTTCCATCGGTCGTCCTGGCACCTCGTGCAGATATACATCACCCTGGAAGCTGCTGAGCACTGGGTCACTGAATAACTATGGCTGCTGCAGCGCATCGTTTAGTCTGTATGGCTTATGAATATCCATTGCCTTTAAAGCATTTTCAAGGCAAATCAGAAGGTCAGGTACCAGTTAAATTTTTACAAAAAAATAGGCAAGGGAACCAGCAGTTAGCGTAATGGCTATGTCGCTGGATTCCCATGTAGTCGACCGCGGTTCGTGTCCCGGACCCGGTGGCTTAAAACTCACGCCGGGCACGTGTGCGTGCGTGCCCAAGATCCCGAGAGGAGAATGGAGGAGAAGGGATTGCGGCGTGACCATCCCCCCTGGGGGGTGATTTCTCGCTTTCTGTCTCTATGTCTCTGTCTGTCTGGCGAGCGCACGCGCCCTACAGTGAAAATCTCTCAAAAAAAAAAAATAGGCAAAAATATTTTAAGTATATAATAATCTGATCTAATTAGAGAATCAGTTCTCTTTAGTTTGTGTGTGTGTGTTTGTATTTTAGAGAGATTTTTGCTATAGGGTGTGTGTGTTCATTGGAGTCAGACAGATAGACAGCCAAAAAGTCACCCCCTGCGGGGATGGCCACACTGCAGTCCCGTTGCCTCATTCTCCTCTCGGGGTTTTGGGCATGCACTCATACGTGCCCAACCTCAAGCTGTTGGGTCCAGGACTCAAACCATGAAATTAGGTGGGACTCCAGTGACATAACCATTACACTATCTCTGGCCCCTCTCTAAATATTTTTTCTTTTCTTTTTTTTTTTTAAGAGTTTTTTTGCTATAGGGCACGTGCGCTCGCCAGACAGACAGAGAGAGACATAGAGACAGAAAGCGAGAAATCACCCCCCAGAGGGGATGGCCACGCCACAATCCCTTCTCCTCCGTTCTTCTCTCGGTATCTTGGGCACGCACGCACACGTGCCTGGCGTGAGTTTTAAGCCACCAGGTCTGGGACGCGAACCGCAGTTGACTACGTGGGAGTCCAGTGACATAGCCATTATGCTAACTGCTGGTCCCTAGATATTTTTAACATCAGGAAGCTCGAAGAAAAAATGGTAAGAAAAAAATGAGTAAAGAACAGTAACCCCAACGTCACCGCCCGTGAGGGACGTGTTTTCTATGTTGTTGTCAATAGCGAGGTCACAGACGCAGAAATTGCTGACGGCTCTGAGCCTGAACCCATTGGAGATGTCTGGGTCTCTCTCTGGGTTGATGCCACTACCGAAAACGAAGCTTGCCAAGGCATGATAATGCGCCAGCAGGACCACGGCGTGCACCAGTTCAGGCAGAGACCAATTATTTTCTCCAGTTTTGACAAGTTTCTGAAATGAGAAAGCAAACGGGAGTAAAAACAAAAATCACAGAAGGTAACAAAACAACTTTAAAAAGCATGGGAAAATCTACCAAGTTTCACACACCCGCCTACAGTAATAAAACTCTCTTTAAAAGTCTCATATTGGGGCCGGCAAGTGGCATGGTAGTTAAAGGCGTTGGACTCCCACATGGCTGACCACGGTTCAAGTCTCAGACCTGGTGGCTTGCTTTCTCACTTCCTCTTTCTCTCTCTCTCTGTCTCTCTCTGATCAAACTGGAAAATAATAATGATGATAATAATAAAATTAAATAAAATAATTCTAAAAAGAAAAGTCTCATATATTAAAGGAGTGGCCTTGGTCAAACACATTACATTAAAGCTACTAAGCCTTACTGTGTGTTGTGGCTGCTTCTAAAGCCCTAGTGAAATACCAATTACTCTGCTTCCAATGCACCTTTACATCTTCTGTGATTTTTTCTCTCTCTCTCTCTTTTTTTTTTTTTTTTTGAGAGCTTTTTTCTATAGGGTGCATGTGCTCACCAGAAGACAGACAGACAGAGAGATAGAAAGCGAGAAATAACCCCCCAGGGGGGACGGCCACGCTGCAATCCCTTCTCCTCTGGGGATCTTGGGCACGCACGCACACGCACCAGCATGAGTTTAAGCCACTGTGTCCAGGACTCAATGAACCGTTGTCAACTACATGGGAGTCCAGTGACATAGCCATTACACCAACTGCTGGTCCCGATCTTCTGTGATTTTTAATGAGATACTTCAGAGAATCAGAGAGCACTGAGACTTGAAGGGACTTAAAGGTTATCTAGGAAAATAATTCAGTCTGAAGATTTTTTAAAACACTGTCCCACAGAATTCTAAAATTCCAATTCAGCAAGTCAACTTCTAGTTACCCTTTACATACGTTCTGATGGAGAAAGACCTCCAGTAGCGGACAGAAACGGCAGAATGCCGCACCCCACATTAAATGAGAGCTGTGCGGGACTGGCTGTGAACGTGAGAGGAGAGCCAACACTCAGCTCTGATTCCTCACCTCACATTCATTCCTCCTTTCTCTATCCACT